GGAGTATCTGTGTTTTTAATCTCTGGATAGGTTGCTTCTATTATATCCCTGTAGCCAGCATTGTTCTATTACAAGTCAGCAGTTAAAAACAAACTAATCTTCCCCATGTGTTACCACAAAAAATCCTCAACAAAACATCAATGAATTGCATTGTTTAAAGCTAGTATTTTATCTATAGTAACTGTATTAGCCCTAGTTGCTTACGTGGGTTTTAAAACTAGCTTTGTAAGAAGATTAGCATGTTACTAATAGTCTCAGGCCACAGTAATGTTAGGTAGGATGACCACTTTAAAGTCCTACAGGAGTATGAAATGCTGTATAACATCAAAAAGAGGAACTGGAAGCCTGGTCTTTGATTTGTCTCTTCTGTTTGAGAGCTGGTGTAGATCAATAGTATAAGCCATTGAGAGGATATTTCAGTTGCAGCTCCCTGCTTTCCTTTCTCCTGATGCATTGTTTCAAGGCTCAAACTAAATCTTTGATGCAGGGTACAAGTTTTTATTTGGTGTTTCGGGTTTGGTTTTTTTTTTTCATTCAGATGACTATGAATGTTTGGATGCCTCTGTTTCTGAGTACGCATTTATTCTACTTTATGAAGGCATTAGATGGTTGCAGGGAATGTGTTCTCAGCACTCTGAGAAAAGAGACTTTTGACATAGTTTCCAGCATGATTATACCAGAAATTTGTGGACTATAGTTTTCACCCATTTTGTTAGTAAAGTACTAATGTAGAACAAATCTAAGTGTAAATGAACAAATCTAAGTTTAATCTCAGCGTATGCTAGATTAAGTGAATAGCAACTGATAGAAAATGCTGTCCTGAGCAGATCAGGCTTTAAGTGCCTCTTAAAAAAAATCCATACAGTGTTTTTAAGATATCACTTGTTCTACTTAGAGATTTGTCACAGGTTTTATGTCAAAGTAAAGCTTTTATTTCTTTGCCCTTATGGAGATTTTATACATACTTATGAGTCAGGAGGAGTGCTGCTGCGACCCTTGATATGACATATTCTGGATTCCTAGTTGCTGGGTTCCCATCTCCTGTGTTTGAGCCCTCTATTCAATTGCTTTCTAGTTCACCCAAAGAGGGTATGAAGATCCACCTCTTTCTAGTAACAGAAAGTAGTTTCCACCTTTCTTACCAGCTTCAAGAAAGGAGTAAATTAAGATAGAGATGGGGATGTACCTTCTGTAGACTTTACCCATGTTGACAAATGCTAGTTTTGATCCTTAGCTGAAATACAGTATCAAGGAACATGGAGGTCTAGTTAAATATATGAACAAACATATGATGAATATTTAAATGAGCTGTACCATTATTCTTCTGTAGTACAGAGCTTCTGTACATAGGTCATTGTTCTGTGACCCCTGATGTGAATCCAGCTAAAAAAGTTGGATTTTTCATCCTCTGTCAGCAACGTTCCTGTTTACGAAGTTTTAGACACTTATGACCTGTGTCAGCCTACTGAATGCTTTGAAGAGTCAGTTGATATCTCTGGGCACAGTCAAATGCAGGGAGTTTTACGTACATGACAGTTGCTGTAATTGGTTTGCAGAACCTCTGATGTGAGAAAGGGAGAAATCATTTTTATTTCTGAGAATCCAGTTTTAATCTGAAAGACTGACAGAAGAAGTGGTTTGTATCATTTAGAGTTGGGAGCTGTCAAGAGAAAAGCAAGAGTTCTTACATTGCTATGTTTGGAGGATCTCTTTCCAGAATAGAACCACATTTTTATTCATAATACCTGGTGTTGAGGATTAGGACAAATATGTGAAAATCCCAGTGAGCAAGCAGGTTGGCTGCCTGCAATGATCGGGTAAAGATACAGAAATGCAGAGTAAGTTGCCTTGCATGTTTCATACCTTGTGGCAGTTTTGGCTGATACCCTCTAAAACTCAAATACCACCTCAAAGCCAACCGACAAATGAAAGTAATGATTTAATTGTCTGGCTCACAATAATAAGCAGAGACTTCTTGCCTTGAGGGCTTTTGTAGGAGTGGCGAAAAGGAGAACTTGCGTATAATAGAACTGATGCTTGTAAGCTATAGCAAGGTAATAACTGCTCCAAAGCATGAAGAGACATCTTTTAGTTTTCATTGCACTCTGGTCCCCTGATAGTCCCATCCAAGAAATGCTCAGTGGAAATATTTGGCATCAATTAAAAAAGAACTGCTTCCATTACACAAAATGTCATTTTAGTCTGTTCTGGTTCATATATTTCAAATTTCAAGTTATTGTTCAGGGAGGAAGATTTCTCTTGAAAGAAAAATCGCTAGAATTTTGGGATACTGTACCTTGTTTCATAAACCTTGGCCCTAAGGGAAAAATAGCAAAACAAATAATGCCTTTACGGGCTTGAGGTTTTGCTGCACTTTGTGTACTTAAGAACTTCACTGAACAAAACACCACAAACTGTAGGTGGTTCTAGGGAGTAATTTATATCTTAACATTTATAACCTTAACAGGTTTTTATTCACAGTTGTGGTTTTTTTCCAGAAATTGTTGGGCTTAAGTCATAATGCTGTTTTCAAAGTTGCTATTCCCAAAAGCACAGCAGCTTACAGATTAACTGAAGCTGTCAAGCTGGTTTAAGAAGCTGATTTCACTGATTTTTGAATTGTGAAGAAAAATCTCAGTTTAAAGTAAGACTTACTTTCAAAGTCTACTTTTTACAAAGTTGAAAAGGGATAGATTTTTTTTTTCAAGCTGTGTAGACAAACTGGCAAAAATCAAGCTCCGTACCCTCCTACTTGATAAAGTTAACGTAACAGAAATTGCTGCTAAGATCTGTGATCTTAGTTCCTGTCCTGCAAAGTACATCCATAAATATCTATCTTTGAAAAGTGCCTAGCACTAGTGAATTTTTTCTGTCTGGTAGATACTTGTGGAGCACCTGGAACTTGCACTGCAGTCCAAGATCTGTCAGTGCTCACCATTTCTGTTAAATGGGTTAGAAAGTGTTTTTATTGCCATTTAAATTTGCTTTCAAAACTGAATTCTAATTAGATATCCAAGTACTGCACTTAGGCCTGTCATGTGCCTTTTTTTAAGTACTTGGACATCTTTTTGGTTGCTTGAGAAGGATCATCTGAAATTCCAGATCTTTGATCTACTTTAGTGTAGTTTGTGAATTTTCAGTTGCATGTTTTCATTTGTGGGTTGGATTCTGGAGAATTGCTCAAATTGAGCCTACTGAAAATCTAACTTTCCTGACATTGACTTCTTCTGTATGCCTTGATAAATTGAATTTAAATCTTGAAATCTTGCTGCAAGCTAATGAGATAAACCTGAAGAGCTACATTTGTGTGGGAGTGTTCCAGGGCTTGTTCCACTGTATTATTCCCTTATCAGCTGAGACACTGGTTTTGCTTGTTTGTGTTTAAGATTCTGGCAATGTCTACCAGACAATGTTTAGCTTTGTAAAGCTAAATCTCCACTTTTGAACTGAGTATTTATAATCTTTCATTCCTTCTCTAATGGCTGTTTCTGTAGACCTGTTCTATTCCCCTGCATGGTGCTGTATTCTTAGTCTCTATGTACCCTCTTCGATCCACAAACTTGCTCTCTCTCCCAGTTCTTTTCAGTGTGCTGCCCTCTTACCCTGAAAGTCTCATTAATTAAGCAGAAACATTTGTAAATTGGGAGTAACCTTGTAGATATAAAAACTGATACAAGTATTTATAAAAATGGAATTATTTCTAATTCCTTGTGTAACTGATTTGACTTTGAAGGAGGACATTATGATTGTGTGGAAGGCTTTAAAGGATGCTTCAGTCTAGGATTTTTCATTTTTTAAATCTGTTTAAACTGGCTATTGTATACATTGTATTTACTGTAAGATTTGATATTTTTTAGTTTTCTTCCATCTCTAACCATTCAAATTCTGCCATAGGTTACTTGCCAAACAGCATTCATGCAGTGGAAGCAATGCTGGCCGCTGCAAGTATTGGTGCTATCTGGAGTTCAACATCACCAGACTTTGGCATTAACGTGAGTAGCCTTATTACTGCCTGTTGCAGAAAAGCTATCACTGTGTTTCAGAAAAATGTGAAGGTGATAAATTAAAGTGGCAGACACATTCTGTTCACTTTAGTCTTACTGCCACCTCCTGGCACAGCCAAGTACACCAGATTTTTTTCTAGCTACCACAAACTGAACAAAAGCCCATGCTTTCAGTTGTCAGTAATGACTTTCGGCATAGTAATTTGAGTATCTAGTTAACTCACTGTTGGGATATTTTCAGGCAGAATCCACAGTCTTGGTGAGCTTTTATTATATTGAATGTACAAATGAGCAGCAATGCAACAGAGTTGTCTGGGGCTTGGCTGTTCCTTCCCAAGTCTTTCCCCAGGCTGGTTAGCCACACTCCAGTTTCTTTGCCTAAGTAGTCCCTTCCTCTGCCTCCTATGTGGGTAGACTGAGCAACACCTCAGTTGGTCTTTTCCAGAAGACTTTATGTTTGCCAACAAGGTGAGGAATTTCAGGCTAATATCACTAACCCTTAACTCTTTTTAGTGTAGGAATAAATGTTGTGTATAAAATACGGTAAAAAATTATCATGATATCCAAATGGACATTACAGTGTGTGCTGGAAGCTTTGGGAATATATTCTGCTTTCTTTGGAAGGTCTTTAGCACACATCATAAGCAGCAAGAGATGTAAATCACTTCTAAAATGAAGTGTTGAACCTTTCTTCTATCTAAAAGTTTGCATGAAAGCATTTGAAGAATGTACTCTGTGCATTGCAGAACACAGAAAATACCAAAGTTTTTAGATAATATATACCCTAAATCTCAGTGTTTAACCCCAGTAGGTGGTTAAATGTATGGACCTGTCATCTCTGGATTAGCACTAGAGGGCAGCAGCGTTCCACTTTCTTACACTTGAGGTTGTATCATTGGGGGGAAAAAAGATTTAAAAAATCATTACAGCATGTAATGATCAATCTGTTCTACAAATATTTTCTGCTTGCTCAGAAAATGACGGTATGGAGTATTTTCTTTGCAATGTGATTTGATCTCTCATCTGGGGGAAGATTGTTCATTTTGCTTGCATTACAGAGTACTGGTATATTTTCTGTCCATGTTGATGTGCTGTTATTTTCAGTGCCCAGCTTTATTTAGTTTTTGTGATAGTTTTTTTAATGAAACTTAGCCTTGGAGCAGCAGTGCCATCGATATCATTTATTCTCCTTTGGCTTGGCAGCATGTGTTGGCATGAATTCAAACCCTAAAATCTTGAGGGAGATCAGCAGAGGTTCTCAGGGATATTGGCTTCCACCCTAAAGAAAAAATATTCCTCCTTCTGTGCACTTGCATTGGTCCTGTTAACATAAATGAAGATTTTGTTTGTGTTTTGGGAAATATTGTAGCATTTTCAACATTTCAAATCCAATTGTGTATATATGTTTTGTGAAGCTTAGAAATGTCACTTTTCTGAACTGCCTACACATTGCAGGCTCTGAATGCTGTACATCCAAAGACTTCTCAAGCATTCAGGAAGTCTGCTGTCAGAGAACCAGTGAGCTCCCTCCCACGCAGAATGCCACTCTTGGCAGCTTTTGCTTCATTTCTCTAGTCCCTGTTATCCATTTACGTATATTAATAGGAAAGTGGTTCTTTGCAGCCTGTGCATAAGAAATTGTTGGACGTGTAAGTTTAAAAAGAGGCTCTGCTCTTAGAACTATGTGAGAAACCTTTGGTGAACCCTAGCAAAGTCAGTGCAGCTCCATTCCTGAGGCCCAGCACCACTTTTAGTATTGGATTTGAGGTTCATAGAATAGCCTGGTATTGTGGTATACCTGAGCTTTTAATGAAAGCAATTCCTTCCTGAGCCATCTGGTTGGATTAAAGTTCCAGTGTAGCAATTACATGTTCCATCTGTTTGTACTGCCTTTGTATCATACCAGGCTGCCCTGTGGGATTTGATCCTGCCAGTGCTAATGAATCCAACTGGGTATGTTAGCAGGATTAGTAAGATCCTGAGAATTGTAGTCATCTCTGTTTCCGATTCACACTTCTCTTCAGATTTGATTCTTCTGTTAGAGTACCCTTAGTCCTCTCATAGGTCTTAATTTTTAAACATCAGGTAGCATGGATATGGGGTATGTATGTTCTGTGCTCAGCATGAATGTGTATACACACACACATGCTGCGTGTAATTTGACTGCTTGGTCTGTTCTTTGAAAATGGTACAAAGGAGTAGGTACGATAACATACCTAAGAAAGCAGGAAATTTGATATCATACTCCCTTAGAGAGTAGCTTTAATGTATTAAGTAAATGTACATTTCTGAGTTTGTTAGCTAATGCATTAGGGGCTTCTTGAAAACCTCTTCTACCACTGAAACAGTTTCTGGTGATTTTTCTTTTAAACTAATCGATAAAGTTAGGTGTCAATACATTGTCACTGTATTTTCTTATGATGGGAACAAGGAAAAGGAAATGCATCTCGGGTGATAGGAGAGAAAGCTGTTAAGTGACATATGCAGCAGACACAGTTGCATGTTTGTATTTAGTCATATCCCTGTACCTTATCTGTGGTGTTCAGTGAGCTTTCCTAAAAAGACAACCTGGAGAAGTTGTCAGGACAGGACCTCTCTACTTTTGCAATAGCCTTTCTTGCAACCCTGACCAGCCCAGCTTGGAAAGGAGTTTAATAGAGATTAGTTGATTGTGATGTTTTTGCATTGGTCTTTTGATTTGGTAATAATTTGTCTCTCATTTTGGCTGCAAAGTAGAGGATAAAACAGGAGACAGAGAAGAATAAAGAATGCTAGGAAGAATAAGCACATATCTGAAGTCTGATTTTTGCAAAATGATTTAGGAGATTGTTCTTGAACAGTTAGTTAGCTAACAGTTTTACTGTATTGACTGATTCAAGTAATGTAGCTAGAGAGGGATGAACATTGCTGTGTGCTGAAAGCTTTTACTGAAAGGATTTGCTTCTTGCTGTTGAATACAAAAAGATCCATTTCTGGTAGTGTTTTCAATGTCTAGTTGTTCTGGTAAAAATCAGTGGTACAGTTTCCTTTGTTAATCGTAGCAGAACAAAGCTGCCAGTTCATGTAAGTGCCACCTTGCTATATGATGAATGCATCTTTCAGAAGACCGGTGTTACTCAGTTTTCTCCCTATGCATACTATCAAACTACTGGTACGTTGTCAAAGCAGCATTGGGAGCAGTTTACAAGGGCATATAGAGCACTTGCCTGCAGATGCAGATAAGAGTCTTGTGGGCCTTCAGGTAAATTAAGGGCCTAACTCCTGCTCACATCACAGTTAGGTGCTTATCTTCTTTAGATGAGTTTGTAAGTCTGATTCTCAAGGTGAATTTTTAACTGCTTAGATAGCTCTGTGAACTTGATCCTTCAGTGAACGATGTTCTGTGATCTGTAGTGATTTTATCTTTGTTATTGGTTGATATATTTGGGGGTCATGAAATAGATTGTTACAAACCTGTTGTACTTTGAAGATCTTGGGTGAGTGAAAGACAAGCAGGCAGTCTTTTAACAATTCTCCTGCTAATTCCTGTCCTTATTCCTTGCTTGAATTGAGATTTGTGTTTAGCATCCAGTGGGTTTTCCTACTGTAGCAATTAATTTAAATTTTTTTTAACTTGTAGCAATTTTTTTTTAACTTGTTTTTCTCTTTGTCCCTAGGGTGTATTGGACAGATTTTCCCAAATTCAGCCTAAGCTCATCTTCTCTGTTGAAGCTGTTACGTACAATGGCAAAGAACATAACCACTTGGAAAAGCTGCTTAGCGTGGTGAAAGGTATTTCACTGCATGCCATCTAGTGTTCGCTATCTGTAGTTCTGTAGGCACTGAAAGCCTGCACTTCCACTAAAAGTGGTACTTTTGACTGCTTGTGGCTGTCCTTCCTTCTTTACAGTATCTCTGTGGCCACTTAGAATTTCAGAACTGATTTAAGTAAAAACTAACCAGTCTTTTGTGTAATTCTAACAGTCTTTTGCTAGCTTAGCTTAAATATATCATCATAAATTAGTCAGCAGTATAAGTGGGGGAACAGGGACTGATAATACTGGCTTTTTTTAAGCCCAAGTGAAGTGCTGCTGAAGACAAATGAAGAGGTATTACAGCACTAAAGCTTGCAGATTTACACATGTATTTTTAAAAGGCTGGCAATATTGAGGGAATCATATCTTGGGTAACAATTTAGTCTTTTGAGGTTTCTTAACATTTAAAACTATATCCAATACTCAGTGCATCAGAATTATTTCTGTTACATAGTGCATTACACTGTACGATCCAATCAGACAGAAAAGACCTTCAGTTTATGTAACTGAATGTAGGAAATAATTTTTTTTTCTTCTTTCTTCCAGGGCTTCCAGATATAAAAAAAGTGGTGGTGATTCCATATGTCTCTTCAAGAGAAACCATAGATATTTCTAAGATTCCAAACAGGTAATGGAGCTTTTGAGGTGTGACTGTCCTAACTAGGGATGAGATGGATGCTGATAGCTATTGAAACTGCCTGACCTCTTGAACTTGCAAAAGCTAGGATTTAGCCAGATTTCCTAATGTGGGTCTACCTTCATACTGAAAACAGCAGTAGCACGTTGCTGCAGATGTTTTGCTTCTACAAAACCACTGTTGATATTAATGGTTCTCAAATGAAGGAAAAATTCAATAGCATATAGCAGGGAGAAGAAAGTGGCTTCCAGAAATGAACAATTAATAATTTAATGAACAATTAATAATTTAAGTGACATAATTTGTTTTGCTTATTTACTGGTCTGGATTACGTATGTTAGATACCTTTTGGAAATGATTGAGTTCCAGACTTTGTGTTGAGGGTCAGATTGTTCCAGTCTGCTTTGCGCTGTTAGGGCTGGCAGCTGATCATAGGTGCAGATTTATCGGCTTGATTTTGTTGTGTTACATCTCAATATTATACTAAGGTTTTATTTTAAAACAGAAAAAGGAAACAAAACAATTAGCAATTCAAACAGAGTAGAAAGACTAGGAATGAAACTAATATGTATAGTTTGAGTATATAGTTTATTGTAAAAGAACTGTTAGATACAGAGGTAATCTTATATATGGGCTGGGGTAATGCTGTCAAAAAAAAATTGAAATGTTCCTTTATTCTCCTCTTATGCAGTGTCTTTTTAGAAGACTTCCTTGCTACTGGGAAAGGAGACCAGGCCCCCCAGCTGGAGTTTGAACAGCTGCCTTTCAGTCATCCTCTCTTTATCATGTATTCATCAGGCACAACAGGGGCACCAAAATGCATGGTTCATTCAGCAGGGGTATGTCTTCCCTCCTGGAGCTGCACTATTTATATATAACTACCTGGGTTATATTTTTCTTTTAACAGTATCATATCATAATGTACTTTAAGGAAGAATTGATTGCTGACAGGTTTTCAGGAACTTGCAATGAAACTTTCTATTTGTATGTTACTGTTTGAAAGCAAATATGGATTAATAAGGATATAAAATAATTTTGTTTAGAGTTTGGTGTGGAGACCTTTCAGAGATTTCAGCTATTTCCTGGGAGCAAGTGTCTCTCACAAAAGCACCAGTAGAACTGGCCCAACTGATACTTGTAGAAAAAAGGCCAAAGAACTTGAATTGGGTGCTTGGAACTGACTTTTGGACACTGTCAAGTTGAGGCCCATAGGGAGCTTGCAGGTTTTATTATCTAGAATTTTTCTGACCTTAAAATTTAGTCCCTATATTTATCAGCATGTCATCCTCATCAATCTTTTTTAAGGAAGGAAGCCAGAAGGTTAGCTATCTCTTTGGGTGTAGGTTTTGCTTTGTATGGAAGCTTTGCTTTAGGCAGTGTCTTGTTATGACTAAAGGTATATATGACCTTACTGCCAAAATCACCCATGCTCACATGCTTCCCATTTACTGTTCATGTTCTAAAAATTTTTCTAGGCAAAAGCTCAGAAAGTCAGCTCCAGCAGTCAGCATAGTGTCGAAACTTTAACTCTGCCATTAGTATAGTCCTTAATAAAAGGCAGGGGTTTTTCCCCTTAAGGCAGGCAGAATGTGTTGTCTAGCACATTTGTACCAACTTGTATAATGTAACTGAACAACTATTAGTCAGTGTCCGTTGTTTCTGCTATTTGCTCTGAAAGTCAGGATCTTGCGAGATCTTGTGAGACTGGCTATAGAATTGTCTAGGTAGCCTGAAGGCAGGATCACTTTGATGTTACACCCGTAGTGTTGTGTGAACATTCTTGCTTCTCTTTGATGGCAAGGACTGGAGGATTTGCCCACAGACAAATCCCATGCTGCCTGTAAAACCTCTGCTTTATATATTATCAGTAGGAGATCATAGCAGGCTGCATGTGGCATACAAAATGGTCCTTTTGGGACACAAATCCTATGTTTGTGAAGAGGAAAGAAGGAGGTATATTTTGCAGTTTTACAGCTGTTTTGAAGCTGTGCTGGCTTTAGGCTGATTAAGTGCTTGCAAAGATGGATTAGCAAAAACAGGACAGGTGTTCTTTCTCTTCCCATGTTATCTGTATGGCTGCTTAGCTTGCCCTTAATCATGCCTCTGCTCTCCATCTGAATCATCTTTTCGGTTCATACAGAGCTACCTCAGAGTTTAGATACAGACTACTCATCCTTGCTGGGGAGGAGAGAATGTGATGGTTTGTTGAATAGGATATGTTACTTGTGAGGATTCTGTGTTCCCACTGGGCAGCTCTGTAGTTCCTGTATTGCAGGGTGACTTTTTTTCTTAAGTTCTGGTGCTAACACCTCTGATTGGCCTAAAAAGCGAATTGTTGCATCAGAGGCTTCCTTGGTTTACATGCTTTGTATGTGTCAGTTTGAATAGGGCCTACGGTAAAATCCATGCAAATAAATTCTTAGATGTCTTCTGCACACTTGAGTGGGTTCCTCTGTTTGTTCTTGGCTTAATCTTGTTTCCACTGTAATTAATAGGAGGATTCTCATTGATTTCAACAAAAGCAGAATTAGCCCACGGTCTTTGTGTCATTTTCCAGCCTCAGATTAACTGAAGTTTGGTTTTGATAGTTAAAAACGCAAAAAGAGATGACATTTCAGTAAAGACATTTCAATTATTGCTTATTTGCTGTGCCCTTCAATGCTGTTTTGTTACCGTACTGATCTTATAGATGCTAATAGGCAGCTTACTTTAAATTCGCAACTTAATTTATCTAATTCTGCAGTATGTTTCTGGTCTGTTTTCTCTGCACATATTTTGTTTTCTTGACGCACAGTGAAATAGCATATGTAAATAATGAAAATGAAGCCAGGTCGTGGGAGATGATTTAAAAAGTAGTGCCTCAGAGGCAGTAAGATTTCTCTGGTCTTGGGAGCAAAGCTGTATCGTATTGAACAATAGGGTGTGCTACAGAAAGACATTTGGAGGGTTATTGAAAAACATTAGTAGAGTAATTGTTATTCTGAAGCCCTAAAAATGTTGGTTCTGCTTCTTACCCCATTCATACAGGCCCCTTTTCAGTTATTCCATATTCCTAACTATCTAAGGAGAGAATTTTTTTGGTAAGATCCTCATCAGTTCTTTTCTATCCATCGTAAGGACTCGCCAGACCTGGGCTTAAATAGCTGCGCTGCTACAGGCTTCTTGTGGTAACTGTAGGCAAATCATTCTGAGGATTTTTCGTGCTCGGACTCTTTCTGAACGCTGTATAGAGAACACTGCTGGTTTGAGACCAGGACCAGCAGCCACGACTGTTCTCCCTCAGCTATGTAAGTGCTTAGCACTGGTCCCTTATGTGCCGATAGTGTGGCTCAGGAGCAGCAGTGCCTACTGATTTTTTGACACTCCAGATGCTCAGCGCTTTATCAGCCATATGTTAAGCCCAATGAAGACAAGCAAACTAGTAAGTTTTTATCAGCTACCAGATCTGTGTCATGAAATGCTAAATGCTTAGGATTTATTTTGAGGGTCATACAAGTCCTATAAATAAACAAGTCCTATAAATAAACTTGAGAGAGCATCTTGGGCCGTTAGCTCTTTAGAACAGCTATGCCTTCTACCACAACACCTTTCTTTCCAGACTGAGTGTTACCAGATTTTGCAGGGGAATAGTTCATATCCTCTATCTAAAGTCATTGTTAAAAAATGTCCTTTTGGTTCCAAACCTGTGGAACAGCAACAACTAAATGGAGGAAAAGGAAAGCCAGTATTTTTTTAAATTGAATTTGACTTTTAATTTCACTACTTTGTGTGGCTCTTTCAGATTCTCCTGCAGAGGCAATGAGCTTAATTTTATAAATGGAATAATTATGTTAACACTTGCAATTCTTTTGGCAACCTTAACTGTTAAGTTAGACGCAGTGTTTCTAAATAGCAAATTTTTTTATTTTTATTTTTAAATGTAGAGAATGGTAGTTATAGCTAGGTGGCAGCATTGTGACAGCTTAGCGTATTCAAACAGTAGCAGGTGAATTCAGACCTGGGTCCTTTGAGTTGTGAAGAGAAAATAAGATTTACTCCTTTATTTAATGTTTTCTGCTTTTTCTCCCAAAGCGTGTGCCTATTTTATGACTCTCCTTTTTCATTTCAAATGTTTATCTGTAATCTATTTTCTTTCAGCATAAATCTTGTTTCATGCTTATGAGGCTCTTAATAGTTGCACTATAACTCCTTGCATAAATGCAAAAAACATCTTTATTTTAAAATCAACCACATTCATTTGTCACTGCATTGAAGTGACTGAGTGAAGTAGTTTGTAAGTTTATTTATCCTAACTAGTTATGCTTTAATGATGATCAGAAAGGTACTTCAATGGCATTTCCAACAAAAGAGAAAAGAAAGTAATATATTTAACTACATTATTATTAATATTGATGCTTTAAGCAGTGAGATTTTTCACATTGCTAGTCACTTCAGTATTTACAAGAGATGTGTATACTTAGGCCTTTCCCCTCCTAGATGTTAATAGATAAGATAGTTTGGATAAATGGTGTTAATGTATAACAGCTGCTGCAGTTTATAGCGGCTCTAGGTCCTTCATTCTTGCCAGTTGCCTAGATATACTGAAAATGAAACTCTGTCAAAGGGCTTATCTTGAAAAATCTGATGGTAAAAGCATGCTGTTAAAATTATAGCCTGCATGGCGTACTCTGCAACTCTGATGGCTGGGCAGAATTGGAAGTGAAGGAAGTTATTTATTCCATGGATTACAAGTGATGTGCAGTGGGAATTGCTGAGGCCTAATGAGAGCGGCTGAAAAGTTATGTGAGAAAATGGAGAATGCAATTGCTGCTGCTGTAGATAGGCCCTGGGATTTACTTCAGCTGTGGTTAAAAGGAAATACTTGCCTGTAATCCTGGAGTACCTCCTGCGAAGCATTGACAACATTAGGTTTTTTTGAAGTCTTAATGTGCTGTCAGAGTTTTGCTTTTCATTTATGTGAACTTACATTTTTCTTTCACTGTTTTTTCAGGGTACGCTAATACAGCATCTGAAGGAACACATTCTTCATGGCAATGTGACCAGCAATGACATTATTATGTACTATACAACGGCAAGTGTAGCTTATTAAGGCATTTTAAAAAATGCATTAATATATTTTTCTTATAAAGGTGGGAGAGCTTTTCCTACAAATTTACAAGTACAATTTTATGTATTTTTAATTCTTGTTCTGCAAGGGATTGTCCTACTTAACTGAGTTTAAAAAAATAAGGTGGAATAATAAAATGCAACAGGGACCTTTCTGATGAAAGGTCAAACCCATGTTAAACATTTCTGATCTAATTAGGGAGGAAAATGGATTGATTTTTGCAGTCTTGTAGGTTTATTGATCTAACTGCCTCATCAATATCACCTGCAAAACAGGCTCTACCTTCCTGCATCATGCAAGGCTTGACCATGCTGAAGATGAGAATTTGTTATGTTTTTGTTTTGGTGGGGAGGAAGGAAGCTGCACAACTCTTAAGTCTAGTAAAGGAAAGGGAATAAAACTGATCTATGTGGGAGTTCAGTTATGTGCTGGGTTTTTTTTACTAATGCTGTGGTAAAGAAAATTATTCCAAAGTCTTCTATTGCTGTAATGGTTTGAGAAGGCTAGTGTCTTTCCTCATGGGTTCCTTTCTGAACTTTAACATTACTAGTCAGTTTGTAATATCTACATAGAGGAATCATTATAATTACCTTGTCCCAAAGTTGTCCTGTGTCTTGCTCTCTCATGCTGTCTCTTTCATGCTTTAAAGGTATGTGTGTAGGGAGGTGTGGAATCCCCATCTCATTAGGTGTTTGTAAGGGTAAGTTAGATGAACATCCAGCAGGAACACGTAGCTGATTCAGTCTTGTGCAGGTGAGAAGATAAAACAGTGCTCCAGCCTTATTTTCTGATTCCTAAATAATGTGATTAGCATAATCAGCAGAGATGGGCATAAACTCAAGTGTTGGTTTAACAGTTTCTTAAAACAGGAAAATTTCGGGCAAGGAAAGCGGAGGGGAAGGTGGCACCACTTGTATAAGGGCAGGGAGCATGCTTTGGTCCAGATCATTCTGCCAAGAGCTATACCTGTCCATCATTTTCTAGTTGCCTGCTCTACCAGCACATGACAGCAAGCAACAGTCCAGGTCCTGTGATAGAGCTGCCAGGAAAGCAGACAGCTAGCTGACAAAGATAGAAACTAACGTAGGTATTTTCTCTTTTCCAGACTGGTTGGATGATGTGGAATTGGTTAGTGACTGCACTTGCTACAGGAGCTTCAGTGGTCCTGTATGATGGATCTCCTCTAATTCCATCACCAAATGTGCTCTGGGACTTGACTGACAGACTAGGGTATGTAAACAAGATTAAATGGAAGGATAATGGTCTTTGCTCCTGTTACGATGACCACATACAAGCAACCTTATTAAAGGTTCCCTTGGTCAGAAACGAGAATGTAGTATGATGTGGTTTATTTTTTTGCGTAGCCTTGAGTGGAACTACTTTTTAAAATTTTGTACTAAAACAGTCTTTGAGAGAGAGCAGAAGAGACAAAGAGCTGACTGTTTCAAATTTGAGTCAAGTATTTGGATTCCAAGCAAACAAAGAATTTTGGTTCAATAGTCAGTTTTCAAGAGCAGCCTTTTCAAAAGGCAGTAATTGGGAGCAATCTGAAGAGTAATTTCTGAGCACACTCAGAACTTAGAAAATAAGAATTCTTTATTTCAAGCAGCTCAACATAAGATTCAATATAACACTTTGACTTAAAGATGTAAATTGACTGGAAAGGCTCAGCAGGGTTGCTTATATTTTCATATTTTGCTTTTTAATCTGTAATGCCTAATTCTCCCTGTCAAGCTGTTTGTCACAGTTCTTTGCGCCTAAAAATGCTCACAGTGCCCTCTCTCGAAGCCTAGAGAAATGACAGGTATCGAATAAACAGCTGTAAAATCCTGTGGTGGTATTTAGCTTTGTACTGGTTAACTTTGATTTTTTTTTTTTTTTTTTGGGTAACTTCCCTATTTTGCCAACTGGATGTAAGGAATAGATCTGAATGATATTACTGGTAAAATAATGAGTGTAATTTTTAATTGATAATTAAAATCAGTTCATTTGTGGTGCAAAGTGGATGCCAAAAGATTCACTTTCTGACCCTTGATAATTAATAATTTAAACTTCACTCTGTCTTTTGTGACATGTAATATTTAAAGACTGACATTTTATCTCTGGCTATTATAATTGAAGGTTAATGCCTAGTCAGAATGCTTCCAGGAAAAAAAAAACAACACAAAACAAAACCACAAACTTAAGACACCCCACCACCACTCCCCTC